ATTTGTAATTAGGTCACGTTAAGTTGTCATGTACTCTTGCGATTGAAAAAGATGATTACGTACTTTTTTCAATGGTAATGTAAGGTGATCCGATTTCATAAAGTATTAGCATATATTTTAAGCTCTATTTTGAAATTAGCACATGTGGTTATATCTTATATCATTAGATTATCATATGGTAGTTCTTACCAAGTGTGAAAAAAAAAATTTGGCTTAACAAGATTTGACCTCAAGAGCCAAAGATGGCTGTTCAATATAAAAAACAAAGGGTGTAGGAAATTACGATAGCCACTCAGAACAGTGATGGAATAGCCAAACTATTGTCAAGCTTATGCTAGCTAGATCGCGCCAAATCCTTAATTTTACTACGTTATGGAAAATGTAAAAACTACTTTTGATGGAGAAAAAATCTAATTGTATTGGCTTCTTGTGTCTTGTTTGTTTTCAAGTGAAAAGCCAATGACCGGGGATCAAACGAAACAATCTCTTTAAATTTGTGTAGGTCAAGTTAAAAGACCTTCTATACTGTTGCACAATTCTTGTTTGGGCCTATTTAAGGGCATTAGGGAAATGCCATGATATAGTCGTGGAACTCTGGGTAGAGAAAGGAGATATTCACTTTAAAACCTGCTTATTTGATTTTGAGGAGGTAATAGGATTAGCATGTTTTTTAATACGTCCTCCATTTTCTTTTAAATGCAACACACCTTGGCACGCACTTTGTGGAAGAGATTAAGTAATATAAATGGATAAATTAATCAAAATAATTTATACAAGTAGTAGCTTTCTCTAATCTTGGTGGTGAATTTATTTTTATAAAGTAGCTCGTTTACCTACTCCAATCAACTCCTAAAAAAGCGCGCTAAAAAAGTGTGTTGCATTTCCAAGAAAGCAAAGGAAGTATTTAGCTTAGGAAGATATATGATGTAATATACTAATATATTAGTAGTGATGCTCTTGGCGTTTCATTTTTTGCAAAATGGGATATGTAGCAAACTGGTTGTCAACCTTTTCAAGTAAAATGAGGTTGACACAGACCATTAGACAAGGAAGATACTCCAATGGAGAAGTGAGCTAGTGAATGATTTTATTGTTAGTAGGGTTTAACATAGCACCTGCTCTTCAATTTTGGTGATTCTGTATGAGCAAATTTCTTGAGAAAGGGCTTAATATTCTTGCTGATTTGATTGACTAAGTCCTTTGGCCATTAAAAAAAGAAATTATTGTTTGGGTTGTCTTTCTCTTTGCAAATTTTTTTTTTAGCATTTTCTCAATAAAAAAAAAAAAAAACTATTTTTAGCATTGCTTTTCCTATATTGAATCTGTCCATGCCATGTAATTCTTCCTCATATGATAACTGTTAGTATCATGTAATGATTTTGTTGATACAGAGATTTACATATTGAAGACTTGCTCTGTTGCTCATGATGAACACAGAACACAAATGGCATGCCTTTTTTTCTTAACTCACTAGGGAATCTGGACGAACTTAAACTGTCTGAAATGTATGTCTTCATTCTTCCTTGGCTTTTGTTTTGTCATATACAAATAATTATTCTCTTCTATTGTTATATATTAAAGCTTCATTTACATGTTTTATGGGATAGTGATACTAGCATCATAGGCGAAATTTAAGAGATAAGATAGTGCCTGTGAAATGTGAACTATACTTTATCTGAATGAAATTGTCTATTTCTCTAAGGAGCAAGTTTTAATTTCAAACATCAATTGGCTGAATCAATTGTCTCCTCATGCCTCTGCTTATTTGCTATGAAGCAGAAGTTACTGAATTGGCTTTCGTGTATAAGGGATAAATTTCTTTGCACTTGCAAGAGTAATGTTGAAAGGGAAAAATTCACGGCAGTTATCCCAACTAGGCAACTATAGGTAGTTTTCTCATAATAATCCCAACTTTGAATTACTCTAGGATAATTCTAGTTAAGGGGTTCGTCTTCCCAAAATGAACTCAAGAGACCAGTTTATCTGCCAAACCAGTTAAAACTAATAATGTTTGCTGAAGCGATGCTTTATATATTTAGATCAGATGCCCACAAAGTGCTGATATATTGTTGGCTTGATATCTGATAGAATAAAAGTATGAACCCAGATAACAATGGATTTTGATCAAAGCTTGGACTTGATTTTATGAATAGCTAACTCTTTTACTTTACTACTGAAGCAATTCTGAACTTTCTTACAGAGCTGATTTTATGACTTGAAATATTTCCAATTCATTGCCAAAACAACATTTCCATGATTAGCAAGTGATAAAGGTACTGCTAAATTGCTAACCCAATTAATTGGGTTTGTTTTATAACAAAAATGGAACTGCTCTTATCAAATCCTAATCGCATTTGACCAAAATAAGATGAAACTGCACATGGAGCAAAACAGCTACTCCCATCCACTTCTGGAATTTGTGAAATAGATAGAGAGATAGGGAACACAAAGTTTGTGTTACTGTAAGGAATTAAACTGGTCCTTGCGTTCCAGGGGTAGGAGACTAGGAGGGATGGAAAGCATGGCTGATTTCAGAAAAACAAAACAAAATAAATATGAGCCAATTTATAGCATGCCACGTAGCCTCAATAGCTGTCTGAGTTGGTTTATTCAGGTCACTGGTTCACTTTGGGAAGAACTCTCCCTTAGTTGGGAATTTGGGATTATTATGGAATAACTCAGAGTTTGGATTGTTATGGAAAGACCTTATATAGTTAAGATTCTTGTGAATTTTTCTTATTGAAAGAATTTGGTTGCAATTCTATTGCATATGACCCCAAAAAAATCAGTGGTTGTCACACGGTCACACCTATGTAAAAGATTATACCTAGCTTGGACCACTAATTAGGTAGCAGGGCGAGTAGAGCTCAATCCACAGAGAATGACTCATAGAGCCAATATAATATCTAAACTAAATTCCAAGCAACAAATCAATAGAGTTTGCAGAGCAGACAACTGATTTTGAAAATGGGATAAACTACAATGATGCAATAGAATTGACTTCTCACAAGGATGCATGGATCAAATAACTACTATCTTTTAACTCTCCAATTAACAACCATATGTTTGCCAAAATAATTTGATACAAGGACTTTCTTTGCATGTGCTAAGTATGATCTACATTTTTTACAGTGAAAATGAGTTTTCTATATTAAAGTTGTCATTGAACAAATCCCTATTATCCTGCCTCTGTCTTATAACATGATATCTAAATGAATCATTCATGATACTTTATTAGAGTCAAATTAAGAATTTTCGTTATGGAAGGAAGTTATTTGATTATGCTTTGACCCTTTGTCTTGATATGCCTGCCTGGTCAATTCGTGACTCTTCTAGATGGATAGGGAGCATCATAAAGGTAACTATGTGATTAGCTTGGGGAATATACTTGTATTGCCATTAGCATATATCAAATAAGTTGGTTGAGGTACGTCTTTGTTTTTGGAGTTTACAGTTGTATAATGGACTTTTGACACCGCACCGGATCCCATTAGTATATGTTAATCTGTAGCAGTTATGTACTTGTGTATAATTGAAGGAAAATCAATATTTGATGTTGAAATTTGATTTAATATACTATATATGAAAATTTTGTCCATGTAATACATGGAAAACCTGAAATCAGATGGGGCCTTGCAACTTCCCAGCCCCGGAAAGATCCATGATCTTTTGTTTTAAATTTTAATACCTAAGTGGTACTCTGCCAAACTTTGGGCACTATTGATTTATTTAGGCTGAACTCACCATGTTGGGTTTCTTTTTTCTTTATACTCCCTGGTTTGGAGTGAGGTGGAATTTGCCTTTCCTTTATAATTCTTCACTCACAACTTCATAGTGGAAGTTTTGGTCCCAGGGAGCTACATATTTTTTCTTTTAGGATAATGGTTGATTATTGACTTACTTCTGTGTTTTGGAGCTGTCATACATTCTCATATGCACCAAGTCAGTCAGGTTCTTACAAATGTGGCCACTTCATCAAGTGATATAAGGTTATTTTGGTTCTGAGTCAGATCAGAGTTTGCATACCATAACTATTCTTAAGATAAAGGACATTTTAGTTGGCTTGAGCTTGAATCAATGAAAGCTGTTATAGTCTTGTTTTAATAGCAACCTCCCAACATGAATTGCTGGTAGAGTTTGTGACTTCCTTACCTCTGATTGAATTGGACTAGCTGAAAATATTATCAATGGCATAAATTGCGTGAATATAGTAACAGTTGTTTCTAGATGTAGGGAGCATATTAGTTTCAATGTTTGAATGGTCACATGTTGTGTTTGTGGACTCCTTAGAAGGGCCCTTAACGAATTTACATTTTTTTCCACTCCTTATATTACCCCAAATACGCTTGTCTGATACTCTTCACTGACATGGATATGCACACTTGACATTTCACTATGGATCAATCATAAGCAATTTAGTTTATAATTTTGCTGCGGGACACCTGGACAAGCACCCTTATCTGACATTAGTATCCGGTTTCAAGTGGCATGGTGATAACTTATGCCATTGCCGAATTTAACTGTGTATGTATGTCTATATTTATTTGATGTATATGGAACTTCCCTCACCTTTTCTTTTGGGTTTGATACTGGCATATACAAGATGATGGTGTCACCTAACGATAAATTCATTTCGGGAAAATTACAAATTAAATGAAATACTCAGCATACATTTTAAATTCTACTTATTGTGAAATAGTTTTCGTAGTTTTTTCAATTGATTGTCTATGAAATACCCTCTTTCAATCTTTGTGAATGAGAGTTGAGGCTCTCTGTGTGTTCTAAGACCATAAATTTCCTAATTCTAGATTATTGTCGCTGATTTCTGTTCTAGTCTAGCAACTCGATTTCTGTGTGATTGTTTGGTTTGGAATATATATATATATATATATATATATATATATATATATATATATATATATATATATATATATATATATATTTCCCCTCTTTTTAAGCTCTTTTAAGGTAAGTATTGATGATTACAGTTACTCCTACAGGTACACATATCAGCAGTTGAGGTCACTGGTTGTCTGGTACCCAAATGGGAATCGGCTGCTGCAGTGCTGCTACTGACACAGGTACTTGGCCATAGTGGAGTGAAAGAATCAATATTTTTGGAGGATTTAAAGGACATCATTATCTCAGTATTATTTTATTGGAAGTGAAATTAATTCTAGGCCCGAGTTCACTGCAATATACCCATTGATTTCTATGTTGAGGAATCTTTTTTTAACAGTAAATTTAATCATGGAAAGCTAATCTATTATGAATCTTTTAGAAGCTTGTTCTCTAAGTTTCATTATGCTAGATCAATTGTATGTTTCTGCATGGAGTGATGGTTGAAATTGAATACGTGTGTTGGTTTTGGAGGAAACATGTATTACTTTACAGCGATAAGCTATCTACTATACTATAATGCTTCTCATTTTTAGATAGTGATGCAATACCTATCCATACCAGCTAGAACAACTTATTATAATTGTCTATGCTTTTTATTAGAGGTTTGAGAGCTACTTGTCACAGGTTGAGTAGCCCGCCTTTCCCATTATTGATAGGAGAAAGTAACAATTAGTTACTCTATAGCTCAAAAGGCCGAAATTTTCGGGCTAGTATATGCTCCGCCACCAAATCTAGATTAACATACAATAATCTACTTGCTACTCTATAGTAATTTAAGCAACTCTTTTTCTGGAGATACTATGATAGTTTTATTAGGCATGTGATTAAACTTATCTGAAATTTGTTGCCGGTGTTGCAATTCTGCCTGCATTTAATGTAGATATACTCTGTACAAATTCCGACCGGCCAACATTTGGTGGGGACCTGTTCAATGAAAGATGCAGCCGAAAGCAAAAGCTAGTGAGCTACAATCCAGGTCTGATGTCTCAGATTGAAAAGGTTTGCTTTTTTATCCGTCCCTTTTTGTATGCTCAAATGACCATTTTTAACTATCATATTTTATGTGCTGTGAAGTTTAATATATTATGTGAAAGAAACAGCATGAAACGCATGGAATGCTGCTTGTAAAATTTGGATTAAATTGATTGAGAAATTTGGGCTTCCAAAAGGTCAAAGTTACCCTCTTCCTTTTTCTCTTTTTTGACCCGTTGTCAACCTTTGTAGGCCTTTGTTGGGTTGATGATGGGCAGAGAGGACACCAATGTGGTGCATCTCAATGATGGTTCTTCTATTATGGTCCATTAAGTGCTTCCATTGATAGGGACCTCTTTCCACTTATTTGTACTATGTGTTCATGCTGTGCTTGATTTTGCAACCTTGTTGATTCCTTGTTTGGTACTATAGATTCAATTTAGACTCATTGCTTTGGCATTATATAGATTTGAGTACACTTTAAGACCCTTTAGTGGAGAACTGCTCAAAAGTTAGGACAAAATATCTATGATTGCCAAGGAAAGCTATAGCTTTCAAGGTTTCCTGCAAGCAAAATGCTTAAAATATTGTATAGGATAGTTGAAATTTAGGACAATAGGGGTTTAGAGATTATCTCCTTGCTTCCTGTAATCCCAGAATTTTGTCCTAAGGTTCCTAGCTTTTTTTATTTTATTTTATTTATTTATTTATTTTTTTGTGGCAAATGTGTAAACACTAGGCACTATCTTTGACCTGGAGCCTTTTCTTCTCTGCTCCTGCTCACATTTCGCAGGGGAGGTGTTGATGTGTGAGGGCCTGAGAGGTTGGGCATCTGTTCATCTCTTCAAGTAATGCTAAGTTAATTGCATTTAGACTTAAGTTTTTCAACAAATTTTTACCATTCATTGTTTCTTACCCTGGAGAAAATAAATTGATTGCACACTAGCCATTTTCATTGAAAAGAAGCTTACATGTGTAATTAGTTAGGCAACTAACATGGGAAAAACTATGTTACCTAGACTCTTCATTTTGCCTCAAGTTGTTGGATCCTTGAATTTTGGGTCAAACTCAAAGAAATTTACAAAAACATTTGTACACTTATCCATGGGAAAAACTATGTTACCTAGACTTTTCATTTTGCCTTAAGTGTCGAAAATGGGTGCCAAAGTTTGAGTAACATATGGAAAAAAATGTCCATAATATCCTCAATGAGCGAATTGTAATTCTACTTTGTTTAAAGCTACCATTAACATGTCGTCCTTGGCTAGGCAATTAGTTGGACTCTCTTTAATAGAATCATTAGATCTTTTATTTAGATGCCACTTCTGCGATTAATTAAGCCAGTATTCTAAGGATAAATGTACATATAATACCTATTAGAGAAAGCATATCCCTTCTCTACAATCTCTTTTGCTTTGTTTAGTCTTATAAGTCAAATGTTGGGTTGATGAGACGCACATATATAGTGATTGCCAGTGATGATTCCTTTATTTGGTCCCTCAAAGAGTACCCCCGTGCTAGAGGTTCCTTTTAGCAGCAACAATTGGAGAGGTTTCACATGATGTCTTTTCACTCTTTTGTAATAGGGTTGATCTGACAATTGGCTTAGTCCTGTCCATTGGAGTAAGGATCCAAATGCTTGAATTTTCTAATGTGAATTTGATTTCTTAAAAAGTTCTCAAAATATTGGTTCATGGTTCTGTATATTAATCATTACTATCTCTAGAAGGGCAAGACTACTCGAGGAAAACAGGAGATAAAAAACGCCAAATGCTTCCAAGAAAGTAAATTTTCGAAATTTCTGTAATACTACCTAAGAAATGTGTTTTTTGTGGAATATATTTTTGCCATTCTGTTTCTCTCCAAAATGGAGCTTGACTTGGGTTTTTTTAGGGCCATAACATGTGAAAAATGATCCATTTTGCTAATCATGCCTGTTCATGATAATTGATCTTTTCACATGCAAACGAAAAAAAAAAAAAATTCTTCTCTTTCTCGATCTTCACATACTATTGAGGAAATTTCACTAAGAAATGTTTTTTGTGGAATTTATCTTTGTCATTTTGTTTCTTCGGATTGGAGCTTGACTTGGGTTTTCTAGGGCCATAAGCCCATAACATGTGAAAATTGACCCAATTTTCTATTCATGCTTGTTCATGATTATTAATCTTCTCACAAGCAAAAAGACAATTGAAAAGAGTTTTTCTTCCCTTTCTGTCTTCGCATACTATTGAGGAAATTTCACCAATAGGTGTTTTTTGTGGAATCTATTTTTGCCATTTTGTTTCTCTCCAGAAGGGAGCTTGACTTGGGTTTTCTAGGGCCATAACATGTGAAAAATGACCCATTTTGTTATTCATGCTTGTTCATGATAATTGATTTCAGAAGCAGAAAAAACTATTGTAAAAAACAATCTTCCCTTTCTCTATCTTTGCATACTAGTCGTAAACACGGGCCAAAATCATCGCAGTTACTATCCATTTCAAACCAAACCAAACCAATATATTGAACTTAAAAGCAGCAACCTAAGCCGAGCAATACAGGCCTATAACCTAAGTTAGCACTAGAAAGGTTGTGGAACACGGAATGAGCTAACCGATTCAGGTCTTAGGCTTGCTCAGTGCTGGCTCGTAGTATCTTAGTTGGGACCTTACCTACACTGCTTGGGCAGAGGCCAAATCTTCATAGATCCTAGAGTAAAATGGACTGCATGAAGCTAATTGCACAAGAGTTGACCTTTGAAACAACTATTATTGCAGTCTCATAATTATGCTGTTTGTATCTAAAAGTTAAACCTGCAGTCTTTCACAGTACTGTGAAATTATATGATTACATCATAGAAGTATTATACACGGTGGTTTAAAACTTTAGATACATGGTATTTATATAATTACATCATACGAGTATTATAAAATTAGATTTGTCCAGTATAGCCTATAGCCATAGGTCTTAATAATGATGGCTATCTGATGACGTGTACCTTATTTTTACCATTAGTACATATAGCAGTAAATATTTAGGTTTTGCCTCATCCTGTAAAAACTGATGATCCTATTAAAAATCTTAGGCTAGGAACAAACCCAGGAAACTGGAGTTTTGGACTATCAAGTTGGCGAAGGGTAGGAAGGTCAAGCAAGTTATAAGTAGAAGTAGTTGGCGTTGGGGACAGTGCGTTGGAAAGATTGTGCGGCTTCAGATCAGCGCGTGCGCAATGATTGAAGTGACGGGGGACTTTTGTTTTTGGGGCTTGCGATGTTATCATCATAACTCATGAGCTATTCACTATTATGGGGCCTCTTTCCTCAAGAGCGTGTGCATATGCATACTATGTATTGGTCCCACTTCCATTCTAACTTTTCACTACTTTGGTTTTTTTATCCCTTTAAAACTTCCCTAACTTTGAACCTGTGCACGGTTCAAAATTTACCACGGAGTACTACTTCCGTACTTTTTTAGTTCGAGTTAGCTATTGTAATATGTAAACCGTGAGGATGTTGAAACACTAGGTGAGTTTAAAACAACAGTTAAAGGTTGGTATCCCATAAATGACTCTTTATTGTGAAAATGGGCAAGTATTGTAGGGTAAATTACGTATGATAATAAAGGGTTTAACCACCGTCAGAGATTGATACGCCAAATGACTCAAATATGCTTATTACGCAAGGGCAAATAAACAAGAAATGGATTAGATAATTTAATTGTGTACCTTTAATTTAATTTATGGTAACCTTGTGAAAATCTTTGCTATCTAAATTAAAGAAAATTGGATATTTTTCATTTTTTTCATTTAAAATCTACTTACATTTGAAAGTGTGGTAATTTTTTGCTTGATTTAGAAAGTGTGATAAAAAAAGTCTTTATAGACCTAGTGATTTACTCTAACTTCATGTATACGAAGTATGGAGTATAAAACATGAGAAAGTAACCATTATCCAATTAGCCATACATTATGATGCAACTGTAAAGCTCATTACATTATCCTATGTTTTCTTGCTCTTTTACTTTAGCTTAAATGGTACGGAGTATAAATATTTGTTTGTGGTGGTGCATTGTTGATTACTTGATGATTGTATATGAGTTGTTCTGCATTGAAGAATTATGTAGATAATAACTATCAATTACCCTGGAATAACTCTCAGTTTCACGGGTAACCCAAGCCCTTAAAAATTTTATGGACTTTTGTATGCATGGATGAGATCTGTAGATTTGTTTGGAGATAAATGGTTGTATAATTCTCATGTGTGAGAAGAAGGTTAATAGTTGAGACTGTATTACATTTTTGCGCTCTTATATGCTGTAAGATTTGGAGAATTTCGGGTTTTTAATTATACAATTGAAGTTATCTGCATAAAACCTGTTGGCAGTTTAACCTGTTATTACTTTGAAGTATACCAATTACTTAAACATTTGGCTGAATTAGAACAGTCTAGCGGTTGGAGAATGCATAATGTAAATTGATTAAAAGGAAGAGATTGCATTCTCACTTAATCAGAAGAAATGACAAATATAGGCATGTTATTGTAATATGCAGTTTGCAGTAGCTAAAAGGAAATAAATAGAAAATGGTGGAGATTATGTCCCACACTTGACATGATAAAACCATGTTAATTGAATTAAGTAATTATTCTCTCTTTGTTTCCAAAAGTTTGACTCACAATTAATCTTGAGCCATTTCGAAGAGTTGGACTCATTTTTTTTAACAATCCCTTTTGTTATCATCTTATTCCTTTTATCCCTGTTTACACTTTTTTACTTTTTACACCGCCTCTTTATCTAAATTTTTTCTTACACTCACTTCTATTTCTTTACCTCATATCTCTTACTCTACTCTCTTTTTTCTTACACCCGCTCACTTTTTCCATGGATTCCTAGAAACAAGTCTATCATTAACGAGTTGAACTTTCTAGAATGAAGGGATTACGTCATACAACTAACTCACTTAGCATCTCCAATGAGAAACTATTGTCAAATTAACTTATTATGTTGCGTAAGATTTTAAGATGTTTTCATTTTTGTCTCAATGGTTAGTTAATGAGTGCTAAGTTGTCCGTTAGCTTTTTGCCGAGCCAATTAACTTGCCTATAAAGTTATATTGATTGGCTAATCTAATTTATAATTTCAACTCTAATAATCAAGCTAGTAGTTTTGAATTGAACTAAGAAAGTTTCTATATAGCCAGTAAAGATGCTCCTTTAGTATTGCAAATATCCAGGAACCACTAATTTCAATCATTTTTCCCCACATTGTTTTTGAAATACTTCAATCAGACTCTATTTTACCAACTCTACATCTTTTTATTTGAATTTTTAACTTGCTTCCAAAATAATTTATTTTTGATTTTTTAAGTTTCATTTACTTCCTCCTATTTTTTTTAATATTGCCCTATTGGCCTTTTTAGGAAGTATCACAAATATTGCACCATTTCTATTTTAGGAAAAGAAATATTCGTGTTCACACTACAAATACCAAATATACCCTTACTTTTTAACACTTGATTGTTTAGTTTATGTATATCATCACTTGGGCAATCTTGTAATTTTACCTTTCTTTCTCATCCTTTTTTCCACTAATAAAAATTTTGTGCCCAACTCTTATGGTGTAATAAAAAAAAGAACTTAGAAAGTATTATTTTTAAACCAGAAATAAATGAGGCTTAGTTGGGACTTAGGGCTGAGGCCGCCCTAGTAAGAGGTTAAATTTGTAAAATTACAGGTAAAACCGCTATCGCTATTTCAAATAGCGGTTTATGGCAAAACCGCTACTTGAACAGTAAAAAAGTATTTCTCAAGTAACGGTATTGCTGATGAACAGTAGAGGTTAAATTTTGTTTCTCAAGTAGCGTTTTTGCTGATGAACAGTAAAAAAAATGTATTTTTATTTACGTCTTTGCCATTTATGAAATTTAGTTTGTTTATCATGTTGAGAAACTTGGAATTTCTCCTAAGGGCTATTCTCTTATTATATTTTTGAAAAGTTCCTTTTTTTTTTTTTTTTGTATTTGATATAACAGTGTTTGAAAAGGTGTGCCTAGGCGCTGAGGCACAAGGCGTTAGGGGTCATGGGCCTTTGTGGTCTAGGTGAAGCGATTTTGATGAGGTGGGCAGTTTAAGGCGCACTAAGATTTTTTTTTTTAATTTTATTTTTTATGTGTATCTTACTTCAACGAGGTGCACCAAGGCACACAGATTCGCACCTTGGGCGCAACCAACTCTGAAACGCCTTGGTGTGCCTTGAGACTGTTTGAGATGATATATTTTTATTTTTACAATATTACACTATTGGTTTTCTTTATGCTACGCATTTGGTTATCTGTGGTTTGAAGCAAGCTCAAATGAACAACGGTGGAGTCACAATTAAGAAAACTTGGGACGATGACAGTACATTTGAAATTGTGATCCCCTCCATTTTTTTCTTGCGTGCACTAAACAATAAATCTATATTTTTAAGAATTGAGGCAAAATTTACATTATGTTTGGATAACAATAATGAAGGGAAAGGAAAGAAAAGAAAAAGGAGGAAGGAAAATGGAAAGGAAGATGAGAGGAGAGAGAAGTTGACCTTCCATTTTTCTTCCAAATCTCTCCAGCGACGACTTTTCACCTCCCAAATCTCTCCAACAATGGAGGAATTTGGTTTATTAAATGGGGAAGGAAAATGAATCCTCTCAATTCCCTCTCATTCCCTCCTTGCATTGGGTAAGATATATTCTTTCTTTTCCCTTCTTTTTCTTTCACTCGATTTCTCTCTATCCAAACATAGTGTCAGTGCATACGGGTGGAGACAATATTGATGAGAAAAGTTATAAGTGAGAAAATATATCAACTAAGGTTTAATTCAAATCTTATAAGGATATCTATTACTCCCTTCGTGTTTTAATAAGTGTTACAATTTGACTTTTTTCACTATTTACATAATGGTTTTGACTCGATTAATTTACTAATATATAACAAACAAATGTTATTGTATAATACATTGTTGGATTCGTTATAATGTATGCTTTTATAATATCACTTTTTCCTATAATTTTACTAATATTTAATTAGATAAATTAATGGTCAAAGTTATGTTTCGGCATATATATTTGGTCAAAGTGTAACACTTATATAAATACGAAGGGGGTAATATATATAGGACAAATTTTTAGAGACTCGTTGTCTATATATATGGGATAGCACATTCAAAATGAATGAAGCTAAACGAGGGGCTGAATGTTGTGCAAGGACATGTTAAGGCAGTTGTAGGATCGTCCTTGGCTCTCTAACCAAGGGGCCTAGACATTGTAGAAGTTTGACCACCTTTATGTATGTATATGTATATGTGTACAGTGCACTTGCAGCAGCAGAAGAAAGCTATAATTGTTTTTATGGATATCCTCCCAAAAGAAGAGAAGAGAGCAGGGTCAATATATCGTCATACCATACGTGTTCTTTCCTTCCTACGTTGGAATTTGTTATCATGGAGTGGGGCACGTATGGCTTCATGTGTGCATCGTTCAATAATGGCCTTGTTTCGTTTTTGCTGGCCTTGTGGTTGATTTTAGGAGTAGTTATTTATAGCTGTTCTCAGGTTGTTTGTTTTGTAGAAATTGATGGTTGAATTGGGTATTCAAAATATTTGTTTGCTTTGTAGATAACTTGATATTGGCGATTGAATTGGGTATTCTAACCGCATTTTGATAGGGTTCTAGAAATTAAGGATGGTCAGGGATTGAGATTGAACCCCCTATTCTTGATAAGTTTGTGGCAATTTTTATTATGTAAACCATACATTTAGCGCTATTTTGTCTATTAGCTTTGCTTAATTTTAAGAATTTTATATGAATAAAATATGTGTGAGCCTGTGAGGTATATGTGTATGTGGTACGTTGGTGTGTTATGAACAAGCTCAATTTATATCTAAGAGAGTTTGTGTACGTTAGGTATTGGAAATTGGTGTGATGGAAATGTCTTTGTGTAGGGTTGTTAAAAGTATTTACAAAGATGTTTTCAGGTGTTCTTACAATTTTTACTTATTTATTTCCCTATTATAAATTTTTGCAAAGGAAATATGGTCACCTAAATCTTTTTTGGAGACTAAAGTAGACTGGATTTAATGTAGATGAACTAATTACTAAAATAAAATAATAAAGTATGTTAAATTGAATTAAACTAAACTGTAAATAACTCTAAAAAAATAGATTCTTAATTAAGCTTGTCTAACCCAATTTTTTTTATCATCATACTAATTTTAAATTTATTCTCGAAAGTATGTTAGAGGGTCTAATCAGATCGGGTTGTAAAGCAACGGATCTTAAAGATCCATGCATTAAAGTACAACCCTTAAGTGGTGGTTGGGTAATAAATTTTTTCCTAATTTTTTATTCAATTTCTTGCTCTAACTTACTACGGAGTAGCCTTGAAGACCCATGCCGTCATGCATTGTGGTCAACACACGTGGATATGATAATGCTTCCCATGCAATGAAAAGAAATTTTACTTTACTATTTGCAATCATTGGTCTGCCATTATCTTTGGGCAACCCGCACGAGTGGTTAGGCAATAATCAATTCATTTTTTTTGCTCTTCTCTCTCTCTCTTATTTTTTGTTATTTTTTATTTTATTTTTTCATGAAGTTCTACTAGTCAAGTGGTGAAACATTTCAAACAGTTGCCCCTTCCTTGTCTTGAAATCGGAGTTTTACTTTTTTTTTTAAGAAAAAAAAATTTAATTGATAAAAACTCTTGATCTTTGGATATTTCTTTAATATGAAATAAGAGTACTAATATATTTAATTCAAAATAAAAAAAAAATTATATTGGATTTTATGGTAAGTCAATGCATGAAAACTTTCATCATTAATTTGCTAAATAACTTATCATATTTTATGTTGTGAAAGCATCATATTCTTTATATCATTTGTATACAAACGAAGGTGGTAACTTTTTTTAGGAAAAAATTATGTTGATCATCTCGATATTGTTTTATATTTGTTACAACTCATTGAAATACCTTTTATTAAGAACTTTAAACTTTTCATAGTAAGTTTTTTAATTAATTTTTTTTTCTCCTAAAATTCGATAAATGGGGTCGGCTACATGAACCAAATTAAAAGTGGTTATTCTATATAGTTATTTACAAAAATCTTCCTCCTCTATTGCTTACGATCAAATACTTCATTCTCATGCAAATCCATATGCTTCATATGCTTCTTAACTCTTTGCAACCAAGTCATTTTCGGTCTCTCTCTACCTTGTTTAACCTCTGACTTCTCCATACATGATCCCACCTCTTCCCCTCTTCGTACCGAGACACCCTGGGGTCTCCGTCTTACATGCTTAAACCAATGCAGATAATTTTCCCTTAGTTTGTCTGCGACACCCACTTTCTTGCGAATAACTTCATTTATGATTTTATCTCTTAGAGTGTTCCCACACATCCATCTTAACACGCATATTTTCGAAACCTTCATCTTTTGTTCATCTATATCATTACTAAATGGGTTATAAAAGTTTTTTCTTCTATGAGATGATTAAATTGAAATTGACAGCTTGGGGTATCTAAAACCTCAAGTGTTAAGGTAAAACTTCATTGATATGGCGTAATAAAAAAATTAATTTTTTAAAATGGTATGAAGTAATATGGGTAAGTTGCTACAATTATGTTTATACGTAGTCAATCTTTTTATTTAACTTGTTATATTGAAATCTTTTTTCTTCTTATGGTGATATGTAGCATTATCCTTAAAAAAAATCTACTTAAAGTTGATTGTGAGATACACGGTTCATATGTACATTTTTCTAACTTTGGCACAGACAGATTATGTTATGTTTCATTTGATGATAAAATATATGCTCTGGGTTTAGAATTGGGTGAGGATATATATGATGAACATATGATGGTTATTCGTCATAGGCCACTGAGCATAACACCCCCACTCTCTCTCCAAGCATGTGATTTGGTGGAGAGAGAAAACTTAGAAGAATTAGACGGCCAATTAGAGTGTTATTCCACGTGAAGACCAACAATGTAGGGATCTTAGTTGGCCATCCGCTTTAGATTGCTTCTGTGGCAAAGCTGGGTAACTATGATTATTTCTGGAAATTCTCTTCTTTGCTCTTTGCTTTATTTTTAAGACAATTATTGATTCATTATTTTCCCCTAGCTGTAAAGGGTTATCAAAAATTTGTGGTATTGAAATCAATAATTTTGATCCATCAAATCATAAGTTTATTTAGAAATGTAGGGTTTACTCTTTAAATAATTACCTCAAGTATATGTCACAGTTAATAAGACTAGAATACTTATAATGGTTGATAATACTATTACAATCATAGGATATCTTGTATTTCCTAATTAGGTTTCTTGAGTTTTGAGATGTGATTTTTATGGTAAAAAAGGAATTCATGATAGGGCTAACCTTATCATGACTAATTATGTTGTATGACTCTTCACCTTTTTTTGGGACTTATAGGAGAATGTGAAAATAGTATCCAAGGATGCATTTTTAGTGTCAAAAAATTAAGGATTAAAATTAGTGGAATGTCTTTCTGATTTTAAATTTCATCCTACAGTAATTGCTCATCTTTAGATGAAGACATTGTTTGATGTACTTTATATTTTAGAGATGTTCATTTTAGCATAGGTAAGAATTGGAGTATCAAAAGTTAGATGGTTTAAAATAGTACTATTTAGCATAGTTTATTTGTAAGATGAATGTAATATTAATGTTCATAACATAGGAGTTTTTTTTTTTTTTTAGAGTATGCAATATGCTATTTTACTAAAGATTTCTATGAAATAATATTTTTTATATTATTTTTCGCGATTAAAAAGTTAATAATGTAGCCATTAGAGACCAAATTACTTGAACGATTAGATATGCAAATAAAAGTAATTTATCCTATATTTATCTATTACTTCTAATGTTGTTTTACATATACGCTTGTGTTCTTTTGGTACATAGTTAGGATCCTTAAGGTGTGTATAGTCCAAGCCTTGAAAGAACTCTGACATCCATAGCCTTAGTTTCTCCTTAACTGTCATCAATGGGTTTCTTTTCCAACTTAGAATGTGTTATCTTTCCAAGAACACACAGTCTCATTACAGAAAATTGGAAGTTATCCAAAAAAAAGTTACTTAAGTGGTTGCATGTTTAAGTTATAATAATATGTTTCTTATAGTTACAAGATGAAATTGCAAAGTCAAATGGTTTTTATATTCTTATAAGCATGACATATAATGATATAATACTGTAGATAATAAAGGAAACCAGTGCTGTGTAAGTGTGTAATGTGATTATAAATTAATATCTACAGATCTCTCCAAATTTTTTAAAAAATTAATAGATTTCTTTACCAACCAACTCAGAATCAGTGGCCACTAATTGCGAGTATCATTTTGCTAAGCATCCCTAGTCCAGGTAGTTATGCGATTTTGGGAGTGCCATGTCAACTTCTATGAGATTAATCG